CTAACAACTAGCAATAACATTACTAACATAACAATAGCAAAGCAAGACAGTTTATTTATTGTCTTATTTAATTGTATGTTTATAAATGTAATGATATATGTGTGTGTGTGTGCGCGTGTGTGCGTGCGCGCGTGTGTGTGTGTATGTGCGTGCGTGTATGTATGTGTGTGCGTGCGTGCGTGCGTGTGTGTGTGTGTGGCGGCAGGCTGGGGGAAGAGGTTCAACAACCGTTGTATATTACTTCTTATAAATAAATGTTGATTCATACCTACCCACCAAATACTAAACAGTGTAGAATTCATGTTACACACATCTGCGAGAGAGGCAAGTCATGAAGAAGTGTGGACTTCTCACGGTGAGAGTTGTCAATCGTGTCAGAGTTACTCTAATGTTATAAATCTTGTATCATTTCATCAAATAATTTTCGCCTGAATGGCATATTAGCCCATCTTTGGTCTTTTAAGAACACATGACATAACGTTGCTGCTTGTTTACAATAATTTATTTATAATCACAAGATAATTGGCAGTAAGATTAGCAATAACGAGAGCATACGTATACTTGTATATACTCACGATATTGATATTATCAGTGGCGGATCTAGAGAGGGGGCGGGGTTGGGTTTGAGGGGTTGTAACCACCCGTTCAGCCACTGACTAATGTTACGATACTAGTAAAATAGGGCCAAATATAAAAAAGTCAGTCTGCAGGCTAATAAAAACTGGGGATTTCCCCTGTAACTACACGGGGGGCGGGTGTATGCCCCCGGACCACCCTATCACCGCGTGCCTTCGGCTCGCCTTCACTCAAATATCACCCCTCCCCCGTCTCCTGAAAGCTAGATCCGCTCCTGATTATAGTCGTAATAGATTACTAGCAATAGATTAATATAATCTGTAAATAGATTACTAGCAATAGATTAATATAATCTGTAAATAGATTACTAGCAATAGATTAATATAATCTGTAATGATCACAGGAATCGTAATCACAGGTATATAGTTATCGTAATTAAACTACTGGGTAAGCTACTCTGTAAATTTCTAAATAAATATATTTCCTGCGTCAGTATAATTAAATGCTATAGGAATGTGTGCTGATGCATACACTTTACCTGAGATACTATGAGAACCTAAAACAGTTCCACACTCGAAATCAGCGATTATACAAAAGTTGTTAGAATAGTATGCTAGCACGAGCATACCAAGGCAATAGTTCTGAATGTAATTGCATAGATGATGTGGTCATGATATGACTGGTTGCGACAGTTCTTTCGTAACGTTGCACGCCTCGCATGCTATTGTCACCGAACCGTGTCACGCAACAAAGTGAAAAATCTACGACGTGCTTTACCCCCGTGTTTTCTATTAAGAGGGATCTCTACTCCGTCAAAATAACCTGCAATTCGGCCGGAGCCTTTACGATATCGTTGGCACAATATTTTGGTACGATCGTCTTGGAGGGATGAGTAGCGTCGCGTACGCTCGGCCTGCAGCAGCATCCGCGATAGTGCTGCCAGTGTAGCATGGCGGCCATGATGAAGCTGCCGAACAAACTCAGACATCCTCCAAACGTGAACATGACGTAGTAACTCTTCGTCACGTCGTACAGCCAGCCTGGAAGAAGAGAAAAAATTCCGCCACTGTTTTATCTGGTCTGACTGTCTCTCGACCTTTCTAACGTAGCTTTTGATACTCCAGTCCAGGGGTTCCTAATTAACCTGTGGTCCATGGATCCATTTGGGGTCCGTGGATGGGTCAACTCTAACCTATTGTTCGCTTATTCGCACGCATTATAGATTAATTTTATCCGTGGAGTCCTCCTGCTCCCGCTGCAGGAGGTGGGATAGAGCGAGGGACACATATACTCTTATATATACACTATATTATTATATAAAGCGCTACTAATACATTATTACATGCTACATGTATTATTAAGTTGTATATATCAATAGAACATAACCTCAGTACAAATAAAAACTCAAGAGCTCATGTATTTTTTACTAGGTACGCCAAATTAAATTTTAACCCGCTGGCAACGTCGCGACACGCGTGCATGTTAAACGAACGTTACGAAATGTTAGCATAAATAGTTAATGTACGAATATCACACGTAGATTAGCGATGACGTAAATGGGGTTACTAGTGTAAGATCGATAGTTGAGGCTCTGCTAGATACGGCCCTAACGTTAAATGCGGTGTCGTCACTGGAAGCGATACAATCAAGATCTAAGTAATAACACATGTATGTGGACATATATAATGTGTTATTAGCTTTTGATACAATTATAATACTATTAATAGAACATCTATGTTTTAATTGCCGAATTGAAATTAAACACTTGTCATCGTACGCTAAACGAAGTCACGAGATGAAGTTAGGGCCTACTAGTGTAAAAATTATAGTTTAGGCTCCGCTAGCTACGACCCTAACGTCATACAGTAACTGACGTCACGAGATGACGTACACGAACGTCGGAACACGCGGCGACGTCGTCGTCTTACCCGCTAGGGGCGCTGCTACGACTCCTCCCAAGCCGGACGCAAAGTTGATGAAGCCAAACGAATGCAGCAGCTTCTCTGTACCGAACATGTCAGCTAACGCTGACGGCATGGCCGACGTACCCATGCCGTACGCCGACCCGAACGCCGCAGCGACGATAGCGAAGCCGGCGTAGTGTCGCGTCGGCGCGATCGCCATTGATATCGCTCCCATGGCGGCCATGCTGAAGCAAAACGTCGTCATGCTGTCGATGTGTCGGTGCAGTGTGACGACGCCGGCTAGCAGACGACCGCTCATGTTAAACACGCCGAAGATGGAGAGAATGTAGGTGCTGTCGTCAGGGGAGATGCCGCAGTAGGTGACGTAGTCGTTCAGCATGATGATGACGACCATCATGGAGCCGATAAACAGCATGTTGTCGAGCAGCAGCACGAGCAGACGGACGTCGCTCAGCAACTCCGCGCCGTGGGCGCCCAGCAGGGTGCGCTGCAGTCGCGTCGCCGTGCGCCGCAGACGCGTCGTCGCGTCGTCGCGACGGTTCTCGACAGGTGGCTCTGCGGACGCGTCGACGAGTTTGCTGTCGCACGTACTGTTCGTCGGCGAGGCGTGCGGCGGCGACGGCCGCAGGAGGGCGCCACATATGCACATGTTGAGAGCGAGGCTGCCGCAGACTAGCATGGCTCCCCGCCAGCCGTACATGTCTACTAGATGCTGCAGTAGTGGAGGGAAGCACAGGTTGCCGATGCCGGCACCCGACACGGCGACGGCCGTAGCAAACTGCCGCCGTCTCGTGAAGAAGTGACTGATGACAGCGACGACGGGCGTGTACACGAGCCCGCAGCCGATACCTGAAGGTCAAAGGTCACCGTTACGTCACACCAAGTTACGGCAGGGCAGGTTAGGTTAGGTTAGGTTAGTTTGGATTGGGTTAGGTTATGGTTAGGGTTAGGTTAGGTTAGGGTTGGGTTAGGTTAGGTTAGGGTTGAGTTAGGTTAGGTTCGGTTCGGTTCGGTTAGGTTAGATTAGGTTAGGTTAGGTTAGGTTAGGTTAGGTTAGGTTAGGTTAGGTTAGGTTAGGTTAGGTTAGGTTAGGTTAGGTTAGGTTAGGGTTAGGTTAGGTTAGGTTAGGTTAGGTTAGGTTAGGTTAGGTTAGGGTTAGGTTAGGTTAGGTTAGGTTCGGTTCGGTTAGGTTCGGTTAGGTTAGGCTTGGTTAGGTTAGGTTAGGTTAGGTTAGGTTAGGCTTAGTTAGGTTAGGTTCGGTTAGGTTAGGGTAGGGTTAGGTTAGGGTAGGGTTAGGTTAGGTTAGGTTCGGTTAGGTTAGGTTAGTTACGTTGGCGGATGCGAGTGAAGGGGGCGTCAGAGTGATTCCCCTCGCTCTCGCTAATAATGACAAGAAACTAGTGAAAAGCACGCGAAGCAGCCATCTATTACCATGTTGAATCTTTATTCTGCTATTTATTGCTCTTCCACATTTACTGTTGACTAGAGGCGAGAAACATTAAAAAGCGCGACTGCATTTGCATTCGGCTGAGGGGGCATGCAGCTCTGCCTTATACCTCCTCGCTCCCCTCCTCCACGCTCCCCTCCTTCTCTCCCTTCTTTTCGCCCCCTCCCCCTGGCTGCTTCCCCTCGCGCTGACCCCGGCCCATTTAGCCTTAACCCCTCACTCCCCTCACTCCGTCCTCGCTCCCTTCTTGCGTTTCTTTTGTCCCTTCTCATTCCCCTTCCCCTCGCTTCCCTGCGCCCTCCGCCTTCCCCTCCTTCCTGCCCCTCTCCCTTCGGCCTCTGCCTCCGCCCCCTTGCGCGTTCCGTCCCCTCGCTCCCCTCTCTCTCAGTTGCCCACAACCGCTGCCCGCTCCTGCCGTTCCCTGGCATTCCTGCTGGCCCTCTCTTCCCCCGTCGGACCCTCCTCTCCCTGTTCTCCTCGCTCCCCGCTACCCGCCACCTGCCTCCTCGCCGCGGGTCCTCACCTCCTCCTCACCCTCCATTGATCCCCCGTCTCCCTGCGCCGTTCCATCCGGTCCCCTCGGTCGCCTGTCCTCTCCCGCCGGTCCTCCTCCTTCCTGGCTCGCTCCTTACGGTCCCCCCTCCTCCCTGCCCCCCGCCGCCTTGCTCCCCTCCTTCCCGTTGCGCCTCCATTCCCGGAGTCAACTTAGCCATGTGAGTTAGTTTATCTCCTTGCCTGCTGCCAGTATTGATGATTCCATACGCGTATAGGTTGGCTTAACATCGACGGTGCTGCTCGCGCTTAAGCGCTCAGATGCACACGTTGAAAAGTCTGCTGTCTTACACTGTATCTGTCACGTGACCTATACGGTACTACATGTAACTTACAGACGTTCATTACACTCATATTACAGCTATATACACTGATCTGCAATGTGAGTTACAGTGTACTAGTCCACTAGCATTACACGATTACTTACACTATATTACACTGTATACTTTACACTTGCTATCTCAATGTATTACAGTTGTTTACTACACTTATATTATCACGCTTATCTGACCTATAATTACCACTATATTACTGCCTCCTATCTCCGAATTATTACTATGGTGTACTAGCACTACATTAGCACGTTATTACACTACCATTAACGTTATTACACTATATAACACTAAATGTACCACTGTATTCTCAATTGGTGAGTTATCAGCTGTACTCGATACATTACACTTTATGCACCTTATCATTATCACCTATATTACACTCGTATATTCAACTGTATTCACAGTGTACTCACTTCATTACACTGTTTTCGACACCTACATTTCACACTGTTTACTTTTACACTATATTACACTATATTACCTGTTCTCAACTGTATTTCACAGGTGTACTACCACTACATTACACAGTTATTGCACTTACCTATACACTTTACTATTTACACTGTTCTACAATGTATTACAGTGTCACTATCACTACATTACGGACGGTATTACACTATGATTTACACCTATATTACACCGTGTATCTCAATGTATTACAGTGTACTACACTACATTACACCGGTATAGTACGTGGCACTATATTTAGCCTACTATTACACTGTATTCGCTCGATCGTTATTACAGTCGGCTGTATACACACATACACGTTATTACACTACTTTACACCGTTATTACACTGTATATACAGCACTATTACACTGCTATGTCTCATGTATTACAGCTGTACATACACTTACATTTACACGTTATTGCACTATATTTACATCGTTATATTTCACGCTTATCCTCCATAGGTATTTACGAGTGTGACTCACTTCAAATTACACGTATATTACACTCGATTCACGACGTTCCATATACACCTATATTACACTATATATACACTGTATCCGTCAATGTATTATCAGCTGTACGTTACACACTCAGATTTACACGTTATTGCACTATATTACCACTATTATATACACCTGTACCTCACGATGTTTAGCAGTGTACTATACTACATGTACACCGTCCTCATTGCACTATACTTACAACTATATTTACCACTGAGATATTCTACAATGTATATACAGTGTACGGTACACTAATTTCTACAACGTCTATTACACCTACATTATCACGGTTATATTCACACCACATTACACCTTAGTTCCACTATATTACCACTGATATCTCAACGCGATTACAGGTACTTACATACATTACACGCTTACTTACACTATATTACATTGTATCTCAATGTATTACAGTGTACTACACTACGTCACACGTTATTACACTATATTACATTGTATCTCAATGTATTACAGTGTACTACACTACGTCACACGTTATTACACTATAAAACACTATTTTACACTGTATCTCTATGTATTACAGTGTATTACACTGCATTACACGTTATTACACTATATTACACTGTATCACACTATATTACACTATATCACACTATATTACATTGTATTACACTATATTACACTGTATCTCAATGTATTACAGTGTACTACACTACATTACACGTTATTACACTATATTACACTATATTACACTGTACCTCAATGTATTACAGTGTACTATACTACATTACACTATATTACACTGTATCTCAATGTATTACAGTGTACTACACTACATTACACGTTATTACACCACATTACACGTTATTACACCACATTACACGTTATTACACTATATTACACTATATTACACTGTATCTCAACGTATTACAGCGTACTACACTACATTACACGTTATTACACTACATTACACGTCATTACACTGTATCTCAATGTATTACAGTGTACTACACTACATTACACGTTATTACACTATATTACATTGTATCTCAATGTATTACAGTGTACTACACTACGTCACACGTTATTACACTATAAAACACTATTTTACACTGTATCTCTATGTATTACAGTGTATTACACTGCATTACACGTTATTACACTATATTACACTGTATCACACTATATTACACTATATCACACTATATTACATTGTATTACACTATATTACCCTATATTACACTGTATCTCAATGTATTACAGTGTATTACACTACATTACACCTTTATTATATTGTATGTGTGTGTTGCACTACATTACACGTCATTACACTACATTACATTACACTACATTACACTATATTACGCTTTTATTATATTGTATTACGCCATGTTTCCGCTCTGCGTGCCTAAACTGGGGTTACGTTGGTTCGAATAGTTCATATTACGTGCATCTACGATAACGACATCTTATCAAGAGCGTATAAAGAAGGAGAGCGTACAACGGTGAAATGCTGAAACCATGTTGCAGTATTAGTCGAATTAAGAAACTTTGCCCGTTTTATTTTGACGATTCTTTGCGGTATTATTGATCAGCTGTCCTATTTTGCTAATATAAAACAAACCGCTTGTCCCTTCTTTATACGCTCTTGATCGTATATATATATACTGACTGACTGACCAGACACACATCCGTACGTCACTAGCAGGTAGTTAAGGCTGTTCCCAAAGTAGCTGAGCGTATAGCCGGCTCCAGACAAAGCTCCTCCCAGTATCACAGTCCATCGACAGCCTATCTTGTGGCTAAGACGGCTTGACAGGGGACCTAGAATGCAGGTAAAAAAGAGCGTTCACTATTTACTACGAGATTAAGAGAAGACAAGCCATATCTATGACGGCAAGGACATACATGTAAAAAACGGTCGGTTTGTGGCGTTAAGTTGGCATTTTGTCAAGCGGAACATCTGCAAAAGATGTGTCAATATGTAGTGACACACACACGTGCGCACGCACGCATATACGCATGCACGCACGCACACTTATATATATATATATATATATATATATATAATATATAATATGCTATCTGATGTATGATGTGCGAAATCCTTATGTTGTGGTGTGCGTGTAGTGTGATGTGTGATGTGTTGTGTGCTGTTGTGTTGTTGTGTAGTGTGTGTGTTGTGTGTGTGTGTGTGTGTGTGTGTGTGTGTGTTGTGTGTGTGTGTGTGTGTGTGTGTGTGGTGTGGGCGTGGCGTGCGTGCGCGTGCGTGCGTGATGTGTGTGTGTGTGTGTGTGTGTGTGTGTGTGTGTGTGTGTAATATCAAGACAGATAATGTGATTATCTGCTCTTGATATATATATATATTGTGTGTGTGTGGTGTGTTTATGTCAAGAGCTAAGAATACATTAACTATACATTAATTAGCAGTGAAACAGTAGTAACTAGACAGAGGGCACTCACGGAGAGTGCATACCTCCGCCAACATGTATACCATGTATGTCTTACGAGCTGGCCTCGCCGCTCGCTGCTGCTGGCTGCTGCTGACCTGACTTGCCTGCTGCTGACTCGACGCCTAATATCGATCGCGCGAACACACACACCGCTAATGCTGGGTTTACACTATCGATTTTTGTCAGGCAAATCGTACCGATTTCAAGTGGCAACACAATCACCGTCCAACACAAATGGCTGAAATTCGATTGTGTTGGTGTCGGAGTCGAGACAAGTCCGACGAGTTGGCGAAATAGAACGTGTTCTATTTTGCTCGACTCGGATTCGTGAAAATCGGCGAGTTGGATAAATCTAATTGGCTAAAAACTTTCACGTGATACCTAGATCAAAAATGGCGGCGCCCCAACAACACGGACAAAACCATGGCATTTATAGATTTTTTGAGAAAAACGAATGTTTGTGCGCGTTGAATTCGATAGAGTACAAGAATCGTGATAAGAAGAGGTAGCCGTGTGAGAAGATAGCTCGTGAGCTTGGATGGAGCGGTAAGTTTATAGTGAAACGTCAAAACTACTCTTCTGTAGCCTGCAGCATGATCGGTACGATTTGCTGACAAAATCCGATAGTGTAACAAAACAGCTCAATCAGACGCAAGCTTCTATTTGGGTCAAGCTCGGGGGGCAAAGTTGAGTCGCTTGAAATCGGCGACGATTTTGCTGACTAAAAATCGATATGTGTAAAACCGCAGCTTAACCAGACCAACACACGAACGCACGAGACCGATCACATAACCTCCCCTCCAACTCCGTTGGGCGGAGGTAATGAATGAAATCTATCGACTTTGTTCTCGCATAGAACCGACGCTTTTATACCCGGAGCTATATGCCCTTGAGTGATCATTCCGTCTGAATGGAGTAATCACTGATGTGATAACATAGTATACGGGATAATCGTTTGAGACGGACTGTAGACATTTGCTCTAACAAACGTCGTATCCCCAGTCCCTGTTACCAGTCAAATAAGATACTGGGGTCAGATATAACAGACGGGGGAGCCCCGCTCCGGGATTTTGCTCATTAAAAACCAACTGTCAAGTATGTCGAGTTTCACTGCAGTTTTCGCGTATCGTAATTTTTAATTAGGGGAGGCAGAGGGAGGCAGAGGGAGACAGAGGGAGGCAGCGGGAGGCAGGGGGAGGCAGGGGGAGGCAAGGGAGGAAGGGGAGACAGAGGGGAAGGCAGAGGGAGGACAAAGGGAGGCAAGGGAAGGCCGGGGAGGCAAGGGAGCAGAGGGAGGCAGAAGGGAGGCAAGGGAAGGCAGGGGAGGCAAGGAGGACAAGGGAGGGCAGAGGGAAGGCAGAGTGAGCAAGGGAGACAGAGGGAGGCAGAGGGAGGCAGGGGAGGCAGAGGGAGGCAAGGGAGGCAAGGGAGGCAGAAGGGAGGGCAAGGGAGGCAGAGGAGCAAGGGGAGGCAAGGAGACAGTAGGAGGCAAAGGGTGAGGCAGAGGGAGGCAAGGGAGACAGAGGGAGGCTAGAGGAGAGGGCAAAGGGAGGCAAGGGAAGACCCAGAGGGAGGCAAGGGAGGCAAGGGAGGCAATGGGAGGCAGAGGGAGGCAAGGAGGCCAAGGGAGGCACGGAGGAGGCCAGAGGGAGCCGAGGGAGGCACAGGGAGGACAAGGGAGGCAGAGGGAGGCAAGGGAGGCAGAGGGAGGCAAGGGGAGGCAAGGAGAGCAGAGAGAGGCAGAGGGAAGGCAGAGGAGGCAAGGGAGGGCAAGGGGAGACAAGAGGAGCAGGGGAGGCAGAGGGAGGCAAGGGAGGCAGGGGAGGCAGGGGAGGCAGAGGGAGGCAGGGGGGAGACGAGGTGGAGAACAAAAGGGGGAAAGGGGGGCAAGAGGGAGGGCAGGGAGAGGTAAGGGATAACGAGGGAACATAAAGGAGAGGGGAAGGGGGAGGCAAACCGCGGGGAGAGACTGGCGGTCCCGTTGGGCCTGCATGCGCACACACAGCTTATGTGAGGAAATACTGTTTTTAAAAAAGAAATATTTTCTTCATGATATCGAGCGGAGCGCTTGAGGTGGTAGAGATAAAATATCAAGGCGATAACTATGTCTAATCCCCTTTTACTGCATAACATTTTTCAGGGAGAATATTTCCCAATTTAACCGTAGACTTATTTATTTTTTTTACCAGTAAAATCTAAGGAGCGACTTGTTTCCCTACACTTATAAATTCCGCCGCGCTTAAAGACATTGGGAATATAATTCCGCAAGTTCATTGGCAATATTCAAAGTTATTGTATCGGCCTTATGCATTCAGTTCGAATCGCGACAATAAGAAATTTGCCACACATTTTGAATAGCGGTCGCCTGCAAACTCCCAGCACCACTCATCGTGACCAGTGTCGGCTAGCTCACGCTCAACGAGCTGCCCTAAGCATCATAGATTTCAAACACCGGCATCTAGTAGACGTGCACACCCGCAGGCGCGCACCACAGCACAGGCACACACCTTCACACGCGGCGCGCACACAGTACACACACACACACACAACACACACACCAGCTACACACACACACATCGCACGCACACCACACACACACCACACACACACCACACACACTCACACACACCACACACACAACACACACACACACACACACACAACTCAACGAGCCACACACACACCACACACACACACACACACACACACACAACACACATTCACACACAGCACACACACACAGCAGCTACACACGCACAACACACACCACACACACACACACAGCACACACACACACACACACGTACAGTGAGAGCGCGACGCTACAGTTAGTACAACACAGTGAAGAGTAGAGCTATAGATGCATGCATCGATCCCCCTTCGGATTCAGTCCTTATAGTGAACACAGCAGCGTCGATGACCGTCACTATATAATGAACCTCGTCCCATGTCCAGGCCCCCGAGGCCATCGCATGCTCGCACGGCGACGCACCACAACAACCGATCGACAAACGCACCGACAGCTCTGGCAGGCCAGAGATGCCTATACTGGTAGAGGCGGTGCAGCAGCGGTAGCCAGCAGGTCAGCGCCGGGACATGCTGCTGCTGGCTGACTGTGCATGTGCTGCTGCTGCTGCTTGCTCTGCTTGCTGCTGCTAGAGCTAGCTGCACTGCACGCGCGCCGCTGTATCCGTGCAGACCGTAGCAATAACACTAGTTATAGACGTGGGGTTATGGTGCGTACAGGGGCAGATGAAGCTATAGATAGAACAGAATGAATGGTAGATAATAGTATAATATAGGGATTCCTTCCCACACCAGGGGGGCTAGGGATGCGTACATCGGGAGGTATAGAATTAAGCGACTCTTGCGTGGTTTCTGCATGGTGGTTAAATGTGTCGGTTAGTCACAGGAATTCTTAAAGTAAAGAATTAAATAAGCCATATCAATTCTAATAAAACTATATATACATATATATATATATATATATATATATATAAACACGGACACCCATGCAAACATCGAGAAACATAAATATAAAAAAATAAATTTTTAATTCAATATAAGGACCTAACTATATACTAATGCGCAAATATTATCTGAATCCCTATCTTGGCAATGAGTTAGGCAGAGACCAAAGACTTGACGACGTGCTCGCGATCGTGGCGTGCGGCACGCGTGGCTGTATGCTGGCTGGGCAGCATGCGTGAAGTCATCACCCCCATCTGCGTGTTAGCATAGCTATAGCCATGGCTGAGAGGGTCTAATGTCCCCCAGGGTACTGCCGAACGTACCCTGGTACTATGCTCAATATGCCGAACCGTCCGCGTCCCCTACTGCCACTAACCGAGTCTAGGAAGTCGCCTACGCCTACTACCCTTATTCCCTAACGCCTAACCCTAACCCTATCGACTAACCCTAATAAACGCATATCAAAAATAGTTATAACCAAGGGGTACGTACCGCAGTAAACCTCTGGGACATTGACCTACTGTTAAAGCTATAACTGTGTTATCCGCATGTAAATACTATACCTAGCCAGGCACATGAGAGATGAGGGAGAGCGCAATATTTTTCGCCAGCAGAGCCACTCTAGCCGTGGACTCTTCGTGCTAGATTCAATCGACGGGAGCAGCGATCGTGAAACCAACACTGACGAAAGTGAAAACACCAGACGCAGCGAGCAAGCACGTGGCAGCGTAGATAATTGACCCGCGACAACGAGCACGAGCCACGCGCCAGAAGCCGGAGCCGTGTCGCCAGCCGTCGCCGAACACGCGCTGCCGACGCAGCCGGAACACATGCGCCATCAGTGGCAGCCGACAGCGCGCCTGCACTGACGACGCTATCACAGTCAAAGCCGACGACGCCACCGCAACTTGTGCCGACGCCGACGGTATCAACAACGAGCAGCCGCACGCCAACCGCAACTAAACTGGCCGACGAACGACGACACTATCAGAGCTATAAGCCCCGACGTTGTCGCAGTGACCGCAGACCGACGCCCACCGCAACTAATTGCCGACGTCCCTATCACAGCTACGGCCGAACGCACGACACAGTGATATTCCAGTCGTGAGGGCGACACACTACGGCAAGCCGCTCGCTGCGTCGACAGACAAACGACACGTGCATAGCGTGCAATTGTACGGTGCCCAGTGGCAATCGTCGTGGCCAGTGCAATTGCTCGGTGCACGTGCAATTGTCGGTGTCATGCAAATCGACCGGTGGCCGTGCGGCCGTCGGTGTCGCGTGTGCCGCCGGTGTCGTCGTGTGCCGCCGGTGTGCGTTCATTGATTGAGTGCCGCTGAGCGACCGAGCTGTTTCGGCTATATTATACTGTGATGGGGAAAGCGGGCGGCGACTGCGCATAGCGCGACCAAACAAGTGCGCTGGAGAAGTGTGAAGACTGCAGATATAATCCCATTACTTATTTCAGGACCGCGAGCACAGATCACTTACAAAACCCTTCATAATACACAATCGCGTTATATCAAGTACTATATATACTAATATATATATATAATATAGAGATGGAGAGAGAGAGAGAGAGAGAGAGAGCAGAGAGAAGAGAGAAGAGAGAGAAGATGCGGGGAGAGGCCTATATATTATGTGTGTGTGTGTGTGTGTGTGTGTTGTGTGTGTGTGGTGTGTGTGTGGCGTGTGTGTGTGTGATGTGTGTGTGTGTGTGTGTGTGTGTGTGTGTGTGTGTGGTGTCCGCCACAGTAGATTTGCTAG